GTTGCGGGATCCAGCAGAATTAGAGGTGACACAGGTACGAGGTGCGTTACTGAGTGGACCACAAGTGGTTGATGACAGTGATTTACGTGAAGCACTTCTCAACCGATTCCCTGGGGCAATTGCTATGGAGATGGAGGGCGAAGGTAAAGTAAAATAACATTTTATGACAAAAATTCATCAATCTCCATTTAAGTGACGTAGAAATGGGCGCAACGGTTATCCAAAAAGCTCCGATCCATTGATAATAATGCATTCCCCCTATACACAAACGCTCAAAGGTGCGTTAACGTTGTTTAGTTTCCTAAAGTTTTAAATCCTGTTTTAATTGGTTTAAAATGTGTACGATTCAGACTAACTAGAAAATAATCGTAGCGGCTTTTGATTACTTTCTAACTATCGCTTGACCTTCGGAAGTATTTATCACTAGCTGTATTAAAATAGACAACATTTTAACATGTTAAAACTTTGGTGTGAACGAGACACAAGGTTCGAGGCGTTTTTACACCAATGGAGAATTGAAATAAACTGGCTTCAATTCTGTTCTAAACCATACGCTTTAAAAATATATATTTGGGAGCTTGAGCAACTACGAAGCGCTGAGGGCAATTGGAACGTCGAAAAAGGAAAACATTAGCTGATTCAAACAAAAACCCATCATACTTTTAGATCTTTGGTCAAATTCCAGATCCTTCTCTTGGAAATGTGTTATCTACTACATGTTATCTTCACTTTCAGGTGTTTACTCAGCAGCACATGACCTGAACGTTGAGTGGATAATTATAAAAGGCGTGTCGGACTTCGCAGATGGCAAAAACTCTGAGAAAAATGCATGGCGACCCTTTGCGAGTATAATGGCTGCGTCATTTGTTGCTCATATCCTCAGTAATTCCATCATTTTTCATGACTGGCCTCACTACAATAATGGAAAGACGAGTCTACCTCCCTCCTCAGGTGACTACCAAACTGACGTGTTTAATTTTTCAAATGATAATTATAAAACAACCAACCAACAGTGTTCCAAGATACAACAGACCAAGACGCGACTGATTCTACACCTGAATGTGGCTTCTTTTTTTAATTTAAAAATAAAGAGGCCACAATAGCTGCAAAGCTTTTAACTGATTCATTCCAGAGACGCACTAGTCAATACAAAAGTAATCGCTTCTGAACGGCAAACATCGAAAAGTTCAGTATTCTAATGTTGAATTGCTTATTGGACTGAATGATGACTGTTTCTTCCACATGTTTCAATGGGACGAAAAACCACTAATAGTTTTTCCATAAAAAGCCCTTTAGAATTGGTAATCTCGTACCCAGATCTCTTATTGACGAAGCCGAAGGCGAGATACTGTTTGAATGCCCGTCTAGCATTAAGTAAAACAGTTTGGCCTTCCTGATGCAACAGAGTAGCTTAGCCTTTTTAGGCTGTGGCTCTGTGAGAATTATATTCTCCGGGTGTCTCAGAGGGAAATGAGCTTTATTTTTAAGACATTGTCTAAGCATTTAGTTCCCAGTATTGTATCGCCTTGCTTAAGTGCTCTTTGAAATATTGCAAGTGTTTCGCTTACGTTTGAATTTAACCCCATCCAGATCCAGTGAGGCATTTAAAACAGCGCGTCAATTTTAAAAGTTTTGCATAAGGCAGTTTCCGTTTAGCGGTTGGTGTTAGTTCTGGCCTTGAATGAAGATTCCAAAAAAAGCCTTGCTTTTACATAAGCATGAATTGAAATATATGAAATGCGGATGAAGGTATGAAAGTGAACATGATCATAGCATTAAATTCGCAGCCTATTCGGTTGAAAAATAATCTGAAAACTTTTGCAGCGTGATCGCAGAAAGTTAGAAGTAATATTATTCATTGTTGGGGAAAATACTCCGCGGCTTTAAATTAATAATTTCCATAATGTTTTAATTCCGGTAGTGTCGTAACCCTTTCGTTAAGGCAGCTTCTGAACGCACTCGAGAAAACCGCACAGTCTCCGTGAACTCTCACGCGATCTTGAGAAATAAATATATGGGCTAAATAACTGGCCCTTAGTGTTTAATAAATACAAGTAAACAAAATATACAATGGAAAATTCCCCCCTCCCCCCCAAGAAGTGCGTAAAATCACTCTTCTCGAAGTACAATAAATTTTAAGAGAAGCCACTTTCCGGTTCGGCAGAAAGACTTCTATTAAATGCGGCTAATTTGTAATTGAGTTCTTTGTTGAACCGAAATCTTGTTGACGTACAGGAATTCAGTTGATGTGAGAATTTGTCACCTCCAAGCAAATGAGAGGTAAAAAGTTGATTACTTCTATAGAGCTCCCCTGCTGATGTTCGCCTATTGAATAGGCGAACATCAGCAGGGGTCTACGAGGTAGAACTTTTTCTTTCTCGATAGTTACCAAAAAGGGTGCCGTTCATAATCATTTACGGTTCCTTTTTGTAGAGGAAATTTATTTAGCTTATAGATAACACGCCTTGCGTGCTTTTGCGCACACTGAAAGCGTGTTGTGCTTTTTCGCACGGAGCTTTAACACGCTCTTTTGTTCGACTTGCTCACGCTTGATTGTCTCAAGCGTGTCCTCTGAAACAAAAGAAATTGGTAATGAGGCAAAATTGCAAGCGTGCTAAAGCGGGTTAAAATAAATTCTTTTGTTTTAAAGTGAAAGCGTGTCGTGCGCGTGCTTTCACCTTTAGCATTAAAATCCTGTGGAGAGTCACATTTGTATCAGTTAAAAAGCTTTTTAGCCATATTTCTGCGTGTAATTGCATGTTGTCCTTATATTTTTGGTTTAAAGGACTTACCTTCTACCAAATAAAGAAACTTATAGAAAAGGTCCGGGAAAAAGAAAAGAAAAGAATGACTGGAGAATACTATGATATTCAGCTACGGTGAGATTTGAACCCGTGTCTGCCCGCATGGGAGGAAAACGCTATGTCGACCATGAAGACACTTAACCTTAAAAAACGGAAATTATATGACTTAGGCAACAGAAATATGATCCAGTCTTATTGGATTCATTACTTGACCCTCAGATGAAACGGAAAACGCTTCTTTTATGCTTAAAATTCAATGAACGGTAGTAGTTATATAATGAGCTATTCCCGCTCACCCCTCATTACTTTTAAGTTACCCCCCTGCTCAACCCTGTTTCGCAAGGGGGGTACCTTAAATTTACGAGATTAGCGGGTATAGCTCATTATATAACTACTATAAAAATAAACAACCAGAGTGATTCAAAAAATAAAATTGATTTTTAAAGAAATAAAATATTAAAATAATAAAGGCTATGGCTGATTACTCGAGTTTATCAATAGCTGAATTAAAACAAAAATTAAACCAGAAAAAGAAATTACTAAGAAAAAATTATAAAGAAAAACTAATTCGTGATATTAGAAAAATAGATGAAATAAATCAAAAAATAAAAAAAGGTGTTAATATTAAAAAGAAACCAAAACCCAAAAAGAAATTAAAAACCAAAAAGATAAAAACGTTTGATGAGTATTTTCAAGAATGCATTAAAAACAAAAAGATTCCAGCAGATACTCCTCCTTATTTTAGAAAGGCTCTTGAGAGAGCTATCAAAGAGCATAACCAAGGACTTGAGAAAGTGAAATCAGCTTTAGAAGATTTTGCTAGCAAATACACAATAAAGGGAGAACCTGGAATTACTCCTTTAGAGTTTTTTGAAAATAAAAAAACTATTATTAAAAATTTTCTTAGAAATCATAGAAATACAAAAGTAAAATTTATCTTGGTTTGTATTATGGGAAAAATGGAAGTAGGCCCGCAACAAAGATTTGAAGTTGAAGACAGAGCATTTTTTCATTCAGAAACTTATATTAATCTTATATCAACTGATGTAAAAGTTTTACTTAAAAAAATTATCCGTAACATCGCAGATAAGATCTATGTCTATCAACAGAATGGTAGCGGGTGGTATTTTAAAGAAGTAAATCAACTTGAGATTCATACCGTTGAATTTGATCCTTTGAAAGGCTCATCCTACATTCCTCTCCCAGATTGGATTATGAGGAAGAAAGCTATTGTTAGTATTATGAATAAAGATGATAAGTGTTTCTTGTGGTGCATACTACGTTATCTTTATCCAAGAGAGAGGAATGATAGACGTTTAGCAGATCTAAAACAATATGTGCATGAGATTAAAAATTCAAAAGGATTCACTTTTCCAGTTAAAACCAATGATATAACAAAATTTGAAAATGCTAATCCAGACATACCAGGCATAAATGTATTCTCAGTTAATTCTAGAAAAAGTTTTATACTTTAAGGTTAGCATTACGTGATCCTCAAAATTCAATAGATTTATTTCTTTATGAGGAGAATGGGAAATGCCATTATTCACTGATTAAAAATTTTTCTCGGTTATTAAGATCGCAGATTACAAAAAAGAACAGATGAACCAATTCATATTTGTAAAAGATGTCTCAATGGATTCACAAAAGAATCATTATTACAAAGACATATTTTTTATTGTAAGAATAATGGGACAGCTTATGTTAGAATGCCAGCTCCAGACAAAACGACTTTAAAATTTGTAAATCATCACAAACAACTTCCTATTCCTTTTGTAGCTTATGCTGATTTCGAGTGTTTTACTAAACCAATGAACACTTGCAGTCCTAATCCAGAAAATTCTTATAGATATGACTATCAAAAAAACATGAACCATCAGGGTTTTGTATTTTTATTAAAGGAGTTGTTGATAAAAAAATAAAGCCAATTACTTATACTAAAAAAGAAGAAGATGATGATGTAGCGAGAATATTTATAGAAAAAATTTCAGAATTAACAAGAGCTATTTATTACGATTTCTATTGTCAGCCAAAACCTCTTAAACTTACCCAAGACCAACAAAAATCATTTGATAAAGCGAAAATTTGTCATATTTGCAACACGGAATTATTAGAGGATAGAGTTAGGGATCATTGCCATTTTACAGGTCAGTATAGAGGTGCTGCTCACAACAAGTGTAATCTTAAATGTAAAAAACCAAGAATACTACCAGTTATATTTCATAATCTTCAGGGGTATGATTCTCATTTGTTTATAAAGCAACTGGCAAGCTTACCAGGAGAATTACGATGCATTCCATCTACTGAAGAGAAATACATTTCCTTCTCTAAATATATAAAAGTTGGTGAGTACAGATCAAGAAAAACAGGTAAAATGGTTTCTTTAGATTTTGAAATTCGTTTTATAGATTCATATAAGTTTCTTCAAACATCTCTTGCTAATCTTGTTAAAAATTTACAAAAGATGATTTTTATAATACAAAACGAGAGTTTAAGAAGAATGTAGATCTAATTACTCGTAAGGGAGTTTTTCCTTATGATTATGTTTCGAATCTTAGTAAACTAACAGAAACACAGCTTCCACCAAAGGAAGAATTTTATTCAAAGCTAAATGATGAGGATATAAGTGAAGAAGATTATTATCATGCTATTCGAGTATGGGATACTTTCAATTGTAAAACAATTAGAGATTACCACGATCTTTATTTAAAATCCGATGTGCTACTTCTCGCTGACGTGTTTGAAAATTTTAGGAAAACTTGTATGAAACATTACAACCTTGATCCAGCTCATTATTACACATCGCCTGGTCTTGCTTGGGATGCTTGTCTTAAAGAAACAAAACAGGAATTGCAACTACTTGATGATTACGATATGTTAATGATGTTTGAAAGGGGAATACGTGGCGGTATATCTCACATATCAAAGAGATACGCTGAAGCTAACAACAAATACATGAAATCTTTTGATACCCAAAAAACTTCAACATACATTCAATACCTCGATGCCAATAATCTTTATGGTTGGGCGATGTCACAAAATCTTCCAACACATGGGTTTAAATGGATGAGAAATCTTACTAAAGATAAAGTTTACGATATTCTTGAAAAAATAAACCATAGCATGTCAAATCGAGGAAAAATAGGGTATATATTTGAAGTTGATTTGGCCTATCCTGAAAAACTATGGGAAACACATAATGATTATCCTCTTGCACCTGAAAAGATGAATGTTAATGGGGTTGAAAAACTAATTAGCCATTTTAAACCAAGAAAAAATTACGTTGTCCATTACCGAAATCTTAGGCAATATCTTGAAATGGGAATGAGGATAACTGCAGTTAATAGAGGAATATCTTTCGAGCAGTCCCCCTGGATGGAGCCTTATATAAGAAAAAATACAGAATTGCGTAAAGAAGCAGACAACAGTTTTGAGAAAGACTTTTTCAAACTTATGAATAATTCAGTTTTTGGCAAAACAATAGAAAACATTAGAAAAAGACAAAATATAAAACTGGTTGATAATCGTAAAACAGCTCTCAAACTTTCAAAAAAGCCTAACTTTGAAAGAGCCACAATTTTCGATAAAAATTTAATCGCAGCTCATATGAAAAAAACAGAGGTGTATTTTAACAAACCAGTATACGTAGGACAAGCAATATTAGACTTATCCAAAACATTAATGTTTGATTTTCATTATAAATATATACAACCAAAATATGGAAAAAAAGCTGAGTTACTTTTTACAGATACTGATTCCCTTATGTATCAAATTCAAACAGAAGATTTTTATAAAGATATAACAGCTGATGTGGAATCCAAGTTTGATACATCAGATTATCCAAAAGATCATCCATCTGGAATTCCAACAGGGTTAAACAAAAAAGTAATTGGAATGTTCAAGGATGAAGTTGCAGGAAAGCAAATAACACATTTTATAGGCCTCCGCCCAAAGCTTTACAGCTTTAAAATAGAAGAGGGTAAAAATGTTAAGAAGTGTAAGGGAATAAAAAAGTCTGTGGTTTCAAAAGGAATTACATTTGAGCATTATTTTGATTGTTTATTCACGGGGGATAAACAAATGCGAAGTATGAAAATAATACAAAGTAGGTACCATGATATATATTCCAAAGAGGTGAATAAAATAGCTCTTAGCTGCGAAGATGATAAAAGGAAGGTATTAGAGGATAAAATTCATACTTTGGCATTAAGATGAAAAAATATTTAAAAATTAAAAAACTAAAAAATAAATGAGTTACTCAGACCAATGCGGCGTAGCAGCAGGGGGTGTTGAGGGGTGCCCAAGGGCTTGTACGCAGCCCCCCTTATCAGAAGATCAAATAAAAAAATATTTGGAAATATTACACAACTACACCAAAAATAACTTAGATGAACCAAAAATGCAGCCCCCATGTTCAAATTGTGAAAACAGTGAAAATTTCGCGATATATCAAGGTTACAAGATTTGTGAAGAATGTGGATCAACAAATGGGCATGTATTAGGTTACTTTGATCCAAAAGAGTACGACAGATTATATTTCAGGAAGAAAAGTGTTTACCAGAGGAAATACTATTACGAGAAAAAGATAAAACAGATTCCAAATTTGACAGGAGAGGAAAAGGATGAATTATACAGAAAGTTGATGGAAATAGATGAGAAAGTAATGACAGAGGTAAATAAAAAGTTCAGCCGTAAGAGAATGATTAATGTCTTTTATGTCGCAAATAGAATTTTGGGGGAAATAGGCTCAAAAAACAAAATTTCACTTAATATTTCATCTGAAACGCGAGACTATTATGATAAATGGTGGGAGTGTTATCTCAAATTAATAGAGTAAATTCTATATTAAAATTAATATAGAATTTTAATCTCTTGTTACTCCAGAATTAAAAAGCCAATACAAAATTCCTGTTAAGTATCCGAGAACCTCATTTTCTTGAAAACGAGTATCAAAAATATAAACATTGCCTCTTCCAACTTTGTATATATCCCAGAAAGATCTGAAACCTAGATTGAAAATCAGGTGATTAGATAATATATTAGATTTACTTAACAAACTGTATCTGTAGCCAGAAAGATCATAAATAACTTTGAAAAAGTCTATTTTTTGGTTAAAATAATTTGCGTATAAGAATTCGTGTACAAGGCAAGCTTTAATATAGTTATCGTTATAAAATTGTGATTTAACAGCGGGAAAGCGGAAATTAACGTAGGCTACTATTTCCTTTAGCATTTTTTTATATTATGCTTGTATAAAAAAATGTGACTTAACGAAATAATTTATAAGATAAAAATGAAAAATTTTATTTTAGCAAATGGACAAAAGTTTTTTATACATCCTTTATATAAAAAATACGCGGCAAATGAAGAAGGTGAAATTATTCATGTTAAACTAGGAAAACCAAGAAAGGGAAATCTTGTTCATGGCGGTTATTTTCAAATTAGTATATATATACAAGAAAATAAGATTAAAAAATATTCTTCTCATAGATTCGTTTACGAGTGCTTTTATGGACTAATTGAAAAAAACAAACAAATAAACCACATCAATTCTGTAAGAGTGGATAACAGAATAAAAAATTTGGAAGTCGTCAGTGCAAGTGAAAACTGTAAAAAAGCCGCAGCCAACAAAGAGATTGGTTTTTATCGCAAAAATCCAAAAAAGGTAACAGCCGTAAATTTGATAACAAAAAAAGAAACAAATTTTAAAAGTTTATACTCTGCTGAAAAAATGCTAGGAATAAAAAGAGCTCAAGTTAGTATGATATGCGAGGGGAACAATCATTGTAAAACAGCAAATTCGAAGGTGGATGGTTGTAAATATACTTTCAGATATCTGAATTAGCTCAAGGATTTAATCTCATCCAAATAATAAAAAATTTTTATAAACTCCTGACACTTTTTCTCATCTTCTGCGCTAACTCCTTCCATTTTAGTAATCTTATGGCAAAGACTCATTGCATAATCAAGACAAATTTGGTCGTCGATGCTATATTTCTGTTCCATTTCTTTTACCAAATCTTTTCCAACAGAAGATAGCGTATTTTCAAAATTTTTTATAAAACTTTTTTTTAAATTTCTCAACTCCTCCATTTATTACTTGCTTAGATTATTTATGGGGGATCTTGTCACCCCCTTATCCGTAGTTTTCCCAATTAGTTGGAGGAAAGGCTGTTTTTTCCATTTATCTAGAGAGGGAGGGGGTGTTCCCCTTATTATAAACTTCTTGTTATAATTACTAACAAATCTATCCGATAAAGGAGTTTGATCAATTATCATTTCATCTATCAGTTTCATCCTATCAACAAACTCTTGTTTATCCCATTCATCTCCTCTAAGAGCTGATCTCAGTTCTACCAATACCTTTTCATAAGTCGTAAATGCGATCTTTGACATTTCAATTTTTCTCTGGGCATTTTCTTTCTTTCCAATACCCGCAACAATAATGCCAGCACCATTTATAACTCCTAAGACAACAGGATTAAGAGTTATTCCTCCGGCAATTGTTCCTATAGTTACAAGGCTTATCCCAGTTATAGTTAAAACATTATCAAGAAATTTATAACTTTTGTAACAATTTTTAAAACACCAAAATTTCTTGTGGTAGTGCTTATAAAAATCTTTTAGAGTTTCAATATCTGATTCTGACAGAGATTTATCAATGTGATTGAACTCAAAGATGTCTTGCATTTTATCCTTCATTTTATCCTTCATTTTATCCTTTGCGTAGATTATGCGGCGTAGCAGCAGGGGGGTTTTGGGGGGATGCAATCCCCCCACTATAAAACATAACTTCCATTTAACTTTTCCTGTAGCATAACTTTATGATATTGCTCAGAATTAATGTCGTAAAAGTTTGGTGAAAACATTATTTTACTTAAAATTCCATCTTCAGTATTAAACATAAAATCTTGTTCGTTGGCGTATCTAACGGATTGTAAGCTTAAGATTGCGCTGTAGTTACTTATTTTAACTTTTGTAATATTTTGGCTAAAATCTTCTGCCAACCATATAACAATTTTTTTTCCATTAAAATCACTTGGCAAGGTTAATTGACTTCTTTGTTTATTAACAACTAAAAATAATAAATTACTAACTGAAGAATAACGTAATGTTAATAAAATACTTCGACCACTTGTATCTCTTTTATATAATCCAAATGATCTATTTCTCCAGTGATAAAATATTAAGCATAAAGTATATTTTGTAATACCAATATTAGGAGAAAAACTAATATTATAGCCGTTAACATTTAGCCCTTCTTTTTTTATATTATCTATGGTTTTATTAGGTATACCCATATCTCTTAAAGTATCACCACTACTTGAAGATAAATAGTTAAAAACAATACCAGATGCGCCTCTTCTTAATTTGTAATTAGTGGCATTAGTAAAATCATAAACGTCTTCGAAATAACTTCTGTATAAATCGTTTATAGTGTGAGGTTTTATTTCCTTTACCATTCCAACTGTTGCTGCGCTATTGTTATTATTTCTATCAAGATTAACATTTAATATTTTTTTATTATTTGCATTTATATCAACATTGAACACAACTTCTGTTGGTTTGATATCAAATGCGGTGTGATAATCATAAACTTTATCTGCATCGATATTGCTAACTTTTCCCACAATTCCATAAGTAATTATATAGACTCCTGAAAACTGTCTTGGATAAGTAGCCAAGTCAGTTCCAGTTTGTGGTATATCAACCAAAAAATGAATAAAGAACCTATTTCCAGTTGCTAACTTCCGGAAATTAACTATTATTCTGTGATAATACATAAATGCTACTCGCCCATTTGATTGTGTGTACCTATGTGATAGTTTCCTCACACTAACATTTCCAATTGATAATCCTGTTGAAGTTCCTTTGTCCACACTTATTTGAGACTTATGCCATAAAGCGTATTCAGTGTTGAGTATTTCCAAGCACAGAGTGTAATCGGTATTAGCAGTTAACCTGTAAAAGTTGATTCCCATTTTGTACTTATATCCACCTTGGGTATTTTTGTTAAGAGCTAAATAAATAACTTTGTGGTTATAATCGTGAAAGTTTCCTTGGTTTGGTGCTAAATCTCCTATTTTTTTTATAACAAAACTGGTTCCGCTAGTTATTTCATCAGTCCATTGAGCCGCACTTGACATAAGATAAGCAAACTGGTCGTTGTAATGACTTGGTTGAACTGCTGTATGATGAACCAGTTTGTCAGCGTAAACTTTATTTACCGCGTCATTGTCTTGGGTTGGTTTACTAAGATTATTATTTTATTATTACCAACATTAAGGTTCCCAGTCATTGATACAGTACCATCTTTTTCTAAGTAATCGCTTAAATCTGGATCACCTGCGTTATCATCCACATACTTTTTGGTTGCGGCGTCTGTGTTTGATGTTGGAGTTGCGAGACCAACTATTTTTTTGTTTCCAAGATTAAGATTCCCAGTCATTGATACACTTCCATCTTTTTTTATAAAAGAACTGGTATCAGGTATTGAGTCATCCACATACTTTTTGTTTGCGCCATCAGTGTCTGATGTTGGTGGTCTAAGGTTAACTATTTTTTTATTATCCATGTTTAAATTATTAGTCATTGTAGATGAACCATCACGGGCAACATACTTTATATCTGTAAAAGCTAATGGTGTTGGTTGATTACTTCCATTTGGGGCTGGTAGGTTAAATATTCGATTATTAGCCATATTGAGATTACCTTTCATTGGGTAAGATCCATCTCTATCAAGAAATGTATTGTCAACATAATCTTTTGTTGGGGGTTCTTTCCCATCCAGTGGAGTGCTAAGATTTGTTATTCGGTATTGATCTCCCATATCAAGGTTAGAATTGATTGTTAGCCTTGAAGTAGGTACTGATTCACTTGATTTATCATCCACATACTTTTTGGTTGCTGCGTCATCATTAACTGTTGGTGTGCCAAGTTTGATAATTTTATTATTATTCATGCTTAGATTACCAATCATTGTATATGAACCATTTCTGTCGAGAAATGTGCTGTCTGCGTATTGTTTTGTGGCTGGCTCATCTGCATCAACCGGGCTTTTTAGGTTAAGAATACGATATTGGTCCTTCATATTAATGTTTGAGTTAACTGTTAATCGTGATGTTGTCGGTGTACCACCAGAATTGTCATCAACGTACTTTTTTGTAGCAGCATCAGTATTATTACTAGGTGCTCCAACATTTGTGAGTCTTTTTTTATTCATATCATAATTACCATCTGCAGTTAGACTAAATCCAACTCCTGGAGCACCCTGAATTCCTTTAGCAAAAGGATGATCAAAAGTTTGTTCGTTGAATATTCCCATTTTTATTATTAGTTTATATTACCAGTAAAATTTTTTGCAATGCGTTTTTTTGGTTTATCAACGTATAGAAATGAATACGGTTTTTTAGTTGCTGTGTGGTAATATTCTTTATTAACTCCTAATTCGGATGATATGCGATTTGCTTCTCGCGATGACGGAAATTCATAAAGGCAGTAGTGAGAACAATTCAAACGGATATCTTTTGGAGTTTTGTAAAATGATTGACTGAGATACACCACAGAACAATTTTTATGTCGTCCTTGAATAAAATAATCAATCAGACACCTCTGGTTTTTATCACAAACGTAATCGTCAAATATCACAAGTTTTTGATTGTCTTCGTAATCAATTTCTGTAACCGGGGTTATTTCATCGTTACTCACATGAAGTATTTCATATCCAATTTTACTACTCAACTCCCTCATTTTTTTTATGAGTTTTTGATACTTATCCTGTTCAAGATTACGTGCGTAAAGATAAATCTCATCGTAATGCAACAGTGGTTTGATTAACATATGATATAACAAATTAGTCTTACCACTTCCACTGTTTCCACAGATTAACATTCTAAACGTATCCGCTGGCATAAAAGGAAATAACTGTTTATATTTTTTATCTGGATCATCGGTACTATCATAATTTGGTATTTCCATTTTTATCTATTGTTTAAATAAAATGGATATAGAAGAATTCAAAAAATTTGCAAGAAATAAAATTGAAGCTGGCGCTTTGACTCAACAGGTTAGAGATGTTATAAAAACAACAAAATGGCAAAAACAAGATATGCGGGAAGGTTTTAAAGAGACATTTAAACCCCTTATTAAATCTCAAGATTCTATTAAACAAAGTATTGATGAGCAGCAAAACGCGACTATAGCACAACTCAAAGCTAATCAACTTGCTCTTACACAAGGTTTAAATCAAAACAGACTTGCTATAACTGAAGGATTTGATAAACTTGACGAAGTAAAAAAATGGGATTTGGCTCAATTACCTAGTTTTGAGGCGATTGAAGAGCCTAAAGAAGATGAAGAAGTCAAAGAAGTTTTACCATCTTCATCAGATGAAAAACCAAAAATAGCAAAATTCACACCTGAAGACTTGAATAGAAATTTAATGAACAAAGAAGCACAAGATATACTAAAATTGTATGGTTATGATTATCTACCTTCTGAGTATTTAGAAGAGGATGCTTCTACTATTGACAATTTAATTGATGGTGTTAATGAAGATTTAGAAGAGACTAATAAAGCAATAAAAAATACTGCAATTATTACACGTGACTCAAACGGTTATTATTTAGCTAAACCAGTAAATAAAAATCCACGTGAAAACACAAAAAATTTTATAAAAAAATATAACACATTAAGCATATTTGCATCAAATTTAACTAATCTTAAGTATTACAAAACAAAATCTGGGTCTGGGATGATTTACTTTAATAACCCACATCAACTTCTAGACAGACTTGAACTACTCGGTGGTTCAATTCTTGCTGGTAATAATGGTGTGATACCTGAGTTTTCTCAAATAGCACATCTTCTCAACCAAATGAAATTGATCTCAAAAAAACAGCTAAATGACTTGTTGAAAACTTATTTATAATGGGGGACCCCCAAAACCCCCCTGCTGTTAATGTAAACATAAGATAAAATGGAAGAACGAGCTATTCACATTTCTTCGATAAACAGAGAAAAAAGAGGAACAAGCAGACCCGGTGATTTTACTATTAAGTTTAATCCATCTCTGAAACTTGACCCTGAAATGAAACATCAACTTGCTCTTGATCGATTGTCCATGACTTATTCCTGGTACAACATTAGAAGTGATTATAAAAACAATAAAATCAAATACACTCATGATGGAACCAACTGGCAAACAATTACTTTTACAGATGGAATGTATTCCTACTCAGATATTAATGATTACATTCATCAGTACATGGATCAAAAGTCTCATCACACAACAGATTCTAAAGGTACAAAAAAGTACTCCATCAATTTGACTTTTGTGTTATCCACCTATCGTGTGTTAGTATCACTTGATGGTGATTATCAACTTGACCTTAGAGGAACAGAATTTGGAGACCTAATTGGTTTTGAAAAGAAATTTATTAATAAAACAGAGTATGGATCAAAACTACCAAATATCACAAATTCGATTGATGTGTTAAATATCAACACAACCGCAATAACAGATAGCATAGTAAATGGAATAAATACAAATACCATTGCTGTGATACCAACCGATAATCTAACAAGATCTTATCCATTTACGTTTGAGCCTAAAAGACCATTGTATTGTCCTGTTTCTTCATTTCACATTGATGAAATGAGAATATATGTCACAGACTCACTTGGAAGGCCTGTAAATTTCAATGGTATAGATTGGTTTATGACTTTGATACTCCACTCAATGAGCTGAGGGAGGGGTGTTGAGGGGTGCCCGAAGGGCTTGTCCGTAGGTTCCCCTTATTATATAACTATTATAATAAAAATGACGAGACAATCAGAGTATAAAAAGAGATTTGACCCTGAATTGTGTAGTTTTACAAAACAACATATTTATGGCGAAGGAATAACAGATGTTTTTAAATCGTTTGGATCAAAATTATTTGGAAAGACAATTAAAAAAGCCGCTAAAAAAGGCGTTGAAAAAGCAGTGACAGCAGCTGCAACAAAAACCGGTGAACATGTTGGCAAAAAGGCCGGTGATAAGATAGTTAAATTATTATCTAGGGAAGTTGCGCCTAGGAAAATTGCTTCCCCCCCAGCAGGGGGGTTTAGGGGGGACGCAGTCCCCCCATCTCAACAAGAGATAGATCAAATGTTGAATAACCTTCTTAGTGGGGGTTCAACACGTAAGAGAAAATTCTACAATTATTAAATTGGGTACCCCCCTATAAGGGGAACCTACGGATAAGCCCTTCGGGCACCCCTCAACACCCCTCCCTTTTTAGCAGCAGGGGGTGTTGAGGGGTGCCCGAAGGGCTTATCCGTAGGTTCCCCTTATAGGGGGGTTTTGGGGGCCCCCATAAAATTATATAATTATTAAAATAAAATGAAGTCTTTTAGAAATCCAAAATATTTAGACAGATATGAGGATGTTGTTTATGACCTGGAACAGACTTTAGATGCGGCTCCAGCAAATGCCGCTCACCAAACTAAAACAGGTCTTAGATTTGTAGCTGATAACACAGGAGAATCCACTCCTTTTGATTGGTATAACGCACGATTATCAATGGATTTTAAAGTAAATAAGCTGGCAGATGGAGGAAATATAGCAGTTGCTGACCATAATGGAATTGTAAATGGTAGTAACTCCTTTATAGAAAAATTAAGTATCCTAGCAAATGGACGAGAAGTTTATAGTTGTAATTATGCGAATCATGTTGTAAATATCAAGAATTTACTTGAGTATAATCCTTCATATGCACAGAGTGTTGCTACAAACGAATTTTATTTTCTTGATACTTCAAGAGCGGCAGAGGAAAGACCTGCTCAAGGAACTTATAATAAAGGTTTTCATAGTAGGAAATTACTATTAGGTGCATCAGCCACAGTAAACTGTGAAATTCCTCTTAATAGATATTCTTTCTTTGAAGCATTGGAAGATAAACTACTTCCTAATACAAAAATCGAACTAAATATCGAGATTGAAAAAGATGCAAATTTAATTTTTAAAGCTGCTGATGATTGTAGAGTTATTATAACAAGACTACAACTTTTTATTCCAAAACTTACGTTTAATGACGATGGAGTAAAGTTGTACATGGAAAATTATCTTAAACCTTACAAATGGACATATTTGAATGAGGTGGTTGAAAGATCAAATAATACACAGCAACAGACAGGTCATTTTAGAATTACAAATGCTATTTCAAAACCACGTCATGTATTTGTTTTTGGAATTGATACAGCAAGAATTGATTCACAAACAGCAAATCCGTTTGTATACGACACTTTTGATCTGCCAAATAATGCTAATATATCAAGATGTTACCTGGAAGTTGCAAATGGAAACGAATACCCCGATATTCACTTTAAACCTTCTACAGATATGTCAAGAGTTTTTAGAAATGTAATGACATACGTCTATGCAAATAATGATTATCAAGGTGGAACATTACTTAATAGAAGTAATTTCAAAAGTTTATTTCCTTTTGTGTATTTTGATTTGACTAAACAGAAAATGGATATAAAAGACGGTGTTACAAAATTAGCATTTCATTACGAGTTGTCTGCTAATCCAAACGCTGATTATAATATTTACGCGCTAGTCTTACATGAAAGAGTAGCAGAAATATCACAACAAGATGGAAAACTATTGCTTCGTGCATAAGGGAATCCCTACCTTAGATACACCGCATATGATTACACAGAATTTTCCACAAGTTGTTATGATTACACAGAATTTTCCACAAGTTGTTAAAGTTACACAACATTTTTACACAACATTCTACACAAGCTTTTAAAGTTACACAACATTTTACACATCATTTGAATGGGGGGATTGCACAAGCCCTTCGGGCGCCCCCCCAAAACCCCCCTGCTTCTAGAAGGTTCTAATGACAAAGCAATTTTTAAAATTAGATTTTGAAGATAAAATCTAATTATATCAAACGGGGAAACCCCCTCCCTTCGTAGCGCCGCGTGAGGTTACACGTGAGGGAAAAATACTCAAGCCCTTCGGGCACCCCCCCATAACCCCCTTTCCTTGTCTACACCACGTAAAATAAGAATTTTAGTATAAACATTAAAATAAAATGTCTAATTATATGGAATACGGAGTAACACTTACAGATGGACAGAAGTCAAAACTAGCTTCTGCGATATTAAATCAGTCACCTTTGACTCTTCGGTTAAAACATTCGCATCTTAGAGGAAATGATGAGTTAATGTTGACAAAAAGACAGATTGCCAAAATAAATAAATCTATTGCAAATGGCACAGGATCTGATATAAAAATAAGTAAAACTCAAATTAGAAAATCTGTAAAACACGGAGGAAACTTATTTTCATCACTTGCATCTCTTGGAGCAAAAGTTCTTCCTTTAGCAATAAAAGGAATAAGTAAAGCTGTTCCCGCATTAGCTACAGGAGCTGCCACTGCACTTGGTGAAATTGGGCTAAATAAAATCTTCGGAAAGGGGGGACACTACGGTATACCAATTACACCAGAGTTTTTCCCAATGCTACCGCCAATTGTAAGAGAATTTACCAAATCACAAATAAATCAAATTAACAAAGCTTATCAATCAGGTAGTGGAGTAGTTATAAAACCAACTCGTAAACAGATAGAAGGAGGATTTTTAGGTACACTTGCTTCTATAGGAATTCCATTAGCAGTTAGTTTAGTATCTAAGATGCTTGGAGGAGGACTTCAGGTTGATAGACGTGGGTCATCTAATACAGCAAATGTTTACGTTCCACCCACAGATGGGGGAGGTTATCCATATCGCTCACCACCGTTTATTGGAACATGGTCCAACCCTATAGGAATGGGAGTGGGGGGGATGCTCCCCCCCAAAACCCCCCTGCGCAATAAAAAAAAAAACTCCAAAGGCAAGGGTTTACTATTAGGAAAAAACAGCCCATTCAACTCAATTCCCATACTAGGCACCATTTTATAATGGGGGAAGCCCCCAAAACCCCCCTGCCCCATTTCAAGATTAAACCTCTATCCAACTTTGACCTCATGGAATGGATAAAAAGACTTGGTATAAAAAATTTTAGAGGAATATACAGTCGTGATGGATTACCAAAAAAGATTAAAAAAGAATGTGGAATAATTAATCTAGATGATATAACAGGGCCTGGAACACATTGGGTTTGTTATAGAAATGGGGGAAAACTACGTTTTCCCCCAAAACCCCCTTTCCTCTCAGCATATAATGAAAACCCCCCTGCTGGTGGGGAAAGTGGTTTGTATGAGTATTTCGATCCGTTTGGGCTGATAATGCCAAACGAAGTATTAGACTATTTTCACACGGGACCTGTAAAACCTATTGTGTACTCAATGGATGAAATACAAAATCGCAGTACTGTTCTCTGTGGTTATTGGTGTTTATATTATTTATTTGAGAGACAGCGGGGTAATAGTATTTTAAATGTAATACATAACCCACATTTTGATGATGATAACAGCGATTTTATAAAGTCATACTTTAAGGGGAACCTACGGTTCCCCTAACACCCCTCCCTTGGCTACGCTGCGTAATGTAAAAATAATATTTAACAAATATTATTTTTTTCTATCTCAGAAAAGAATTTAGCTTCCATTTATTATATAAATAGATAATGGGGGGACCTTGTCCCCCCAAAACCCCCCTGCTGCTACGCCGCGTGAGTTTACAGCTCTCTATAAAAACGTATTATTTCTTACTACATTTTTAAGCATATTTGATTTCTCACTTATTTCCATAAGCAACTCAAATACTTTTATAAATTTCGTATCGTTTTCCAATCTAGCAAAATCAGCGTATTCATAACTCATGTTTAATCTATCGTATATCTTTTGGAGTTCACTTTTGAGAAAATTAGATCTGGTAGTCATAATTTTTATCTAAACGTTATATAAAATGAAAGAAACTTATTGTATTGTAGATAAAAGAGTAACTCCTTGTACAGAGCCAAGTGGTTACCAACAAGATAAAAGAGGTAGAACTCAATTCTTTTGTAGATGCGCAGTTTGTGGAAATAAAAAAGTAAAATATATTAAAATGGGGGGAGTGCCTCCCCCCATAACCCCCCTGCAAACTGGAAGTGGAAAAAGAAAAACTAAAAAGAAGACAAAAAACTAATTAGCCCGTCTGAAGGGGCGGGCGTCTTTGATACAGTTGTTGGTACAGCAGTTGATGGATTTGTACATTACGGGCTTCCTTGGATGGGTAAAAAAGCAGTTGAAATGGGGCGATATGGAGCAAGTGAGTTAATGAGAAACAAAAATCTTCAGAAGAAAGCTGTAAATTATGGAATTAATAAACTCACTCCATTTATTCAAGATTCTGTTGGAACAGCCATGGATGAACTATCAACAAAAGTGAGGCCAAATAAAAAGTATAAAACTGACAGACCAGAATTAGACCGAAGGATTGGAAAAGGAATTGATGTTCACAAGCAAATTGGTAAATTGCCAAAACCAAAAGGTGGATGGACATTGCCAGGGCATAAATATACAGGCCCTTATAATGATCTTGAGAACCAAGTAAGATATGATCCGGAAACCGGAGAAATATTAGAAATTTATGATCAACCAACTGGGCCAACCGATGCTGTTGCCATGCAGCATGATGTTGATTATAGTGTTTGTGGGGATAACCGAAAGTGTAAAAATAAGGCAGACAGAAAGATGGTAAAATCCTTAGATGCTATTCCTTGGAAAGAAAGACAATGGGGACATACTTTAGCTAGAACAATAATTAATACTAAACAAAAACTTGGACTTGGTTTAAACGCGAGTCGGCGTTGAGTAGTGATTGGTCTCAACAATTAGCCGACGAACTTCACAAACCAATCACAAGAAACTTTCAAAAAAGATCAGTAATCTCAAACGGGATTGATGAAATCTGGGCTGCTGATTTAGTTGAAATGCAAAAGTTTAGTAAGTGGAACAAAGGTATTAAATATCTCTTGATGATTATTGATGTGTTTAGCAAGTATGGATGGATTAGGGGGCTGAAAGATAAGAAAACTGAAACTGTAAGTAAAGCATTCGAGAATGTATTCAAAAGTAAACGTAAACCTCAAATGTTATGGACTGATAAAGGTTCTGAGTTTATCAGTAAACATTTCAAAGAGTTTCTGAAAAGAGATGGAATTAAACTGTATCACACTGAAAACGAGGAAAAATCTAGTGTTGTTGAGAGATGGAATAAAACAATGAAAAACAGAATGTGGAAGATGTTTACAGTTAATAACAACACTGTTTACTGGGATAAGATAGATAAACTAGTTGATGATTACAATAACGCTAGACATTCTAGTATAAAAATGTCTCCTGTTGAAGCAAGTAAAAAGAAAAATGAAAATAAAGTTTGGTCTAATTTATACGGTGATTTAATCTACTTGAAACCTGGTAAACCAAAGTTTGCGATTGGTGATAAAGTTAGAATATCAAAATATAAGAGGCGGGTATTTGATAAAGGTTACACACCAAACTGGACAGAGGAGATATTTGTGATTGATAAAGTTCTGCCAACAAAACCTGTTACATATTCTATTACTGATTTGATGGGAGAAGAGGTTAAGGGATCTTTCTACGAGCAAGAGTTACAAAAATCAAAACAGCAGACATTTAGAATAGAAAAAATTATTAAGAGAGATAATAAAAAGAAAATGGCATTAGTAAAATGGAGTGGATATCCTGATAAATTTAACTCATGGGTTAGTTCTAAGGATTTGGTTGATTTTTAATACAAAATAATGTATTAAAAATAAAATCCTATTCACTCATCTTTCTCTTCATCAGATAATCTTAATTCCTCAAATCTATCAACTAATTCTTCAATGTCATCTTCATTGTCCTCTTCACAATCACTTTGCTCTTCGCCGTCGTCTTCTTCAATTGTTAATAAAGACTCTCTAGGTTTTAATGGTTTTACATAGCACTCATGAACTTTTATTTGTAAAGATGTTACAGTTTTACTTATAAAGATTCCTTCTATTATCAATGCCAATTTCACATTACAGTACTGGTTAATATTTTTAAAAGGATTTAGATTCTTTCCCCCCTTTCCTTTAAACAAAGATAAAATTTTCTTTGATTTTTCTGAGTAAATAAGTTTTGCATAAAGAACTGGCGCAGATGAGGGATCTTTTCTAGTTTTCTTCTTTCCTTTTTTATCGGTATACTCTTCTTGTTTGTAGTATAACGGTGAGGAAAGAGATGAGGCTAAATCTGGTCCATATTCATTCTCTAAATGTTCTATAGACAAAGATGTTAGACTATTAATAGCACCATAAAACGCTTTTTCTTTTTCATTTGGTTCGCTATCTTTTGCCCAAAGACATACTGGTATACTATATCCTACTAACTTTTTTGTTTCTTGATTTCTCTTTTCATTTACTCCAAAGCTAAAAAGAAATGGGGTTTCGATTACAAGTGGTCCTTTTTTGTTGTTTTGGTATTTGATTTCAATTGGTATACGCTTGTATTTAATGTTACTATCTTTTACTTTTGTCTCTTTTGCTTCTTTAAAAATAACGGTTTCTTTGGTTAAATGATCGTAACTGGATAACTGCATTTTGTTAATTATAATTTGTTTCTTAAACTACAATTAAAAAATCAATTTTTTTGGCCAAAGAAGATTAACGGACCAGTAGTTACTCGATTCTGGTTTAGTATAAGTTAACTCTCCTTGCTTATTTTTTATCTTTGTAGCTCTAGCTAAATATTTGTCTCTTCTCTCTTTATCCTTGTGTATTAAGTAGTCTGGATATTTTGGAGAACCAAAATGAACTTTCTTTCCGCTTGGAAGTGTGGCCATATATTTGTTATTTTTTCTGGTAGAGTAATCAAGTGATTCTGCACCAAGTTTTTTAGCTCTTCTAGTTAATTTTGTAAACTTATCTCCTGTGAGAATAAATCTTTCATTTGGAGGAACATAATCTGGATCCTCATCGTGTCTATATCCATCATCAACTATAAAATCCAAATCCTCTTTTGTAGGAGTAGTTTCTCTAGAACGTGGTTCCATTTTATTTATTGGTTATAGTAAAACAAAAATCTTATAACAAAAATGTTATAGGATTAATCATCAAAAAATTCTACATCTATTTTGGAATGGTACTATGTTAGCAAATGCGGTAAAGTTTACAGCAGATATTCTAATAAGATACTAAAGCCTGAAATAATAAAGAATGGCTATTACAGGGTTTGTCTTATGAGATCAAGAATTATCTATATCATTTTCTGCATCAGAATCAAAATCTATATCTTCAGCTAATTTATAACAGAAAAACTGATTAACAAAGGCATTCTTGAATTCAGGTAATCCTGGGTATTTTTCAGGCTTCTTTTTTCTTAACAAGTTGTACCTTAACTGCCTAATGTCGGCTATATCTGAAATATCAAAGGCTAAATCTGTTTCTTCAATTAACTTTCTAATAATCTCCATTATTTCCTTAGCCAAAGATCCTTCAAATACATCATCATAATATTCACTCTGTGTTGTTAACAATAAATTCAAATCTCGACATTTTTTATTAAGATCAACATAGATTTTGTAAACTTCAAGATTATGACCTGTATATACTGGTAAAATTTCACCTCTTGGAGTTACATTGAACGACATTCTAATTTATTGGTTATATTAAAACAAAAATCTTATAACAAAAATGTTATAGGATTTTAGTGAAAGAATTCTACATCTAATAGTGTATTAAATTTGTCTGCAAAATGTAACTCTGTGAGACAATCTTCATCTTTCATCATACTAAATTCTGTAATGTTTGGGAATATTATTTCAATATTCTCATACGCTTCATCATAAGATTCATTTACTTTCACTTTATCGTAATTACTGAAAAATGCCTTCATATCCATTATTCCAAGTGCAAATAGACCGATAATCTTTTTAGCACTTTTATCAATTGCTTTGAGTTTTTTATAAGCAACTTCACTCTCAAATACTAAACCGTGTTTTGTGTAAGGTTTGGTACTATATTTCGCAAACCTTTCATCTTCACTGTTACTTTGCGAGTTATTTGCGTTACTTGCGGATTTGACTCCCATCTTATATAATTTCTTTGTAATCTTTAAGCTTAAATTCAATTTTATTTTTTGAATCACTCTGGTTGTTTATTTTTATAGTAGTTATATAATGAGCTATACCCGCTAATCTCGTAAATTTAAGGTACCCCCCTTGCGAAACAGGGTTGAGCAGGGGGGTAACTTAAAAGTAATGAGGGGTGAGCGGGAATAGCTCATTATATAACTACTAACGGTTAATCTCCTTTCCAGGTGAGTCAAAGCACCCTTTAAGAGAAAAAAATGGTTCCTTTTTTTCTTATGGTTTCATTTAACTTGCCGGTGAATGTTGATTTTATGAGTTGAAAAATCGCCCTTTGGGTCACACCGCGATTAACAACTGTAAGCTTTATTGTGACAAACTCAGATTAAGATTTTTTTGGTCAGTTCGATATGTTTTTTTTTTCTTAGTTTCAAGCTCAAGCTTGAAAGCTACACCAAACTATACCAAGACAAATGTCTCAGGGTCTAAGGCTTATCAAACCGTCACTATACATGCTAGTCCTTAGCCAATTGATAAGAGATGGTCCAAAGCCAAAAAAACGTAGTTTATCAAAAATAAAGGGCCATTCAAGGGAATCGAAAGCTTTTTCAAAATCTATAAAGAGCAACAACCCGGGAACGTTGTGCTGTGTAGCATACTGGATGATGCCATCTATAAGTCTAATATTTTCCCCAATGAACCGTCCTTTCATAAAGCCTGTCTGATCATTATTTATCAGTTTTGGGAGAATGGTTTTTATACGGTTTGCTATAGCTTTTGCTGCAATTTTGTAATCTGTATTAAGGAGAGTTATAGGACGCCAATTTTTATGTAAAATGGTTCCATGCTCTTTTTTGGAATAAGTTTAATGATACCTCTTCTTTGAGAAATAGACAAGCAGCCAGATTCGTAAGCAAACTTGAGGGCGGAGAGTCAGAGGAGTAGAAATGTCATCCCAAAAGGCTTTGTAAAATTCGACTGGAAGGCCGTCTGTGCCGGGAGTTTTATCCGTGTTCATAGATTTTAAAGCTTCTTCACATTCTGTCTTATAGTTAAGAGACCATCGCAAACCTGTTGCTCATCAGTCAAAAAAGTCTCATTTGCTTTCTGAAAGAAATCAAAATTCACAGAGTTGTCTATTTTTGAGGCGTAGACATCTTTATAGAAAGATTCGCATTCAGATAATATATCTTTGTCAGATATTACGTAAACTCCGTCGTCAATTGGCTTATTGTACCTTGTTTAAAATGACGTTTTTCAAGACTAAGAAAATATTTAGTACTCTTTTCACCTTCATTGTACCACCTGGACTTTGATCGAAGAATGGCACCTTTGGTTCGGCATTCAATTATTTTCTCGCGTTCTTCTTTTAAGATTTTAATTCGTTCAGTGACATTTTGGCTCACTAGCGGGTCATTGCTACAAGCATTGTCAAGTCGTTTCTCCAACATTGTAATTTCTTTTTCCAGCTACTCTTCTTTTTTTACTTTTGCTTTTTTAATGGAAGTGGAGTAAGTAATTGAGTTTTCGCGGACTTTTAGTTTTATCATATCCCACAGTAATAGAGGGTTAACCAGTTTATCGTTTTTGTATTCGTTACCTTTTTCTTGTATCGCTATTTTTATTATTTCAATAAAATTGTTATCAGCGAGTAGAGAAGTATTTAGCTTCCAAAAACCGTTTCCCCTGGGATTAGAATGTAAAGATAGGCTAAGCGTTATCAGAGAATGATCAGTTTTGAATCCTGGTATGATATCTGTATGTGAGTACTATAGTCTCATACCTAGTATGGATTGACTCACTAAGAAAAAATCAAGTCTGCAATGATATGAATTTCTGGCTGTCTGTGGCACCAGGTGTCATCTTTTACAATCTGGATTAAAAATTCTCCAAACATAAAACAATTCCATATTTTCCATTGCATCTTGTACCACCTCCAAAACATTTTGGTGTGTTCTAGCGATTCCGTTCTTTTTACCTTTTTCAAGTACTAGATTGAAATCACCGCCGATTGCCACATCATCGCACTTGAAACAAGAAAGCCGATCAAAAAAGGTGTCAAAGAAATTAGGATCATCCTTGTTGGGGGCGTAGATATTGGCCAAGGTCAACAATTTGCCATCCGCTTCAATAAATGTCGCATATGATAAAACGACCATTCGGATCCTGAAGTGTTTTAATAACATTTAGATTAAAATTGTTCTTAAAGAGGATGCTGACCCCTGGTTTGCTCAAGCAGCAGCTAAACAGCGCTTTGTAACCCCATTCACTTCTTGCAACATATAAATAGGAATTTTTTTTGCTCTTAGCCAGTTAAACACCTCCCTTCTTTTGGCATTATCAGTCCTATTCCTCTGACGTTTAAGGACGCGATTTGAAGCTTCATGATTTCAAAATTAGCATATCAACATGAAACGACAAAAGTTCATCTTTGCTCCGGGACAGAACTAACAGCAAGTTACTACGTAACAAAAAGAAATAAACAAAGAGAACTACAATAAGGATGCCGAGACAAAGGTGGCATCGGTAGCAAATAACAGAAGAAAAAAAACTACTTAAATACACGACGAAAAAAAAAAATACAGAAAAACAACAAACACTAACACAGAATGAGCTTTGTTCCGCGCGGTTTCGAGAAAGTCTGCAGCAAAACAAAAACTTACTTCGCTCGCCCTATCTATGCAGTATTTTATAAATCTTTGGTGAAAAAGAAACTAATGATTAAGTTTCAAATAACTAAATGGTCAAAAATATGGTTCGGTTGGTTCTACTATATATCTCTAGTACCTGGCCCACTGGCCAAAGTTTCCCTCTTACATAAAGTTTATCGGGTTGGAAGCATGTTGCTGCACTGACTTTAAATTTTTTGTTTTAATCGACTTCTTGAAAAATATTGCCAAATTTCGCGTAGTGGTCCTTAGTCCGCGACCTTATAACCTTGGTTGAATAATAAAACTTCGCCAGATGAAAAGAGACGGCCTTTGTTTTCGAAGAATGTTTTGAAAATCTTCCCTATACATGTGTCCAAATTCTCTTTTTTTAATACCTCGAATACATACAGAGTTTTAAGTTATTTTTTTCGACCGCGCTGAAAACCGCTCGTCGACGCTCGTGTGGTAAACTCGAGGGAGACTGTTGTCTGAAGTCTTTCAAAGAAAAGCACACTATTTTATACTCACAAGATCTTCCGAAAAAAGCTATAGCTTTATTATCAAGAATAGAACAAAATACATGAAATATTGTGAAAATCACGTTTTTACGTGTTTTCTCGGCGTGCTACTTACCTGAGTCGCGGACCAAGGACCATTGAACACGGTCGCCTTTTCTTGAATTAAAAGCAATATACTTAAGTTTGTTTGGTAACCTCACGATTATCGAGAGGAGCATAAAAGCTATCTTCAGGGAGTATTTCAGCTCGTTACGTTTTGATTCAGGTATGATCTTCATGATAATATTTTTTAGTCGCAGACCAAGCGCCACATACTGTGTATGAAAAGAGGTGACACGGCAAGACTTACTCAGTAAAAACCGGCATGAGAGAACAAACACTTACGGAAACGAAGCGGGAAGACAAAACTAACACTTTAAAACGCTCTAAACGTACAGATCAAACCTAAAAATGAGAACTAACACCACAAAAACAAACTCTTAGTTAACGTAAAAGAGAGAAAACAAGACGAACACAGCAATACAGTCAATGCGCCGTGTGAATCAACTAACGTGTTTATATAAATAACGGGTGGGAAGGCAAACGCCGTGCGAATTACGGCCCATAACAAACGGGAAAAAGAGGTCCCTGATGACACCAAATATGGCCAGTTAACTTAAGAGTCACGAACGAAAAGGAATAACAAGACGAACTAAAAACCAGACTTAAACGGACGGAAAAGACGTGAGAGGGCAAAAAGAATATTAACCAATTACGACTGACGTTATATCCATATATGAAGAAATGTCCTTTGCGATACATACAATGAACCTTCATTTAACGTGGTCAATGTTCTTAGCTAACTATAGCTACTTTACAGACATGCCACGAAAAACAACAACAAGTTTATTCAGTATTACCATTTTGTACAGGTGTTACCGATTAAAGTCTGAACAATAGACAGCTAAATTTAAGGAAATGAAGATATAATGAATGGTAGAATTTATTGTGTTCCTTTCGACTTTCAAATGCTTGGAAGACAAAATTAGCAGTTAGCCTGCTGATATGTGAATCAGTATTGTTAAAACGAAAACAGACTTTATCATGGACATTGTAATTTGTAAATAATGTATTTCGGTCGTTGATTTTAATAAAAAGAGTCTTTCTCAAATCATTATATAGATCACACCGAAACAATATGTGCAGTTCATTTTCAACCGAATGTAGGTTGCAGTGATCACAGATTCTAAGGTCTTCAGGAGTTTTGGGAATTGCAAATCTTCCAATTTCTATTTTTAAATTATGATTTTCTATCCTAAATTTGGAAGCTGCACGCCTATGTTCAGGATTCCGGATATGATTGATGAATTCAAAGTAATTTGTTTCGTTTCTAAAGATGGAGTAGAATCTTAGTTTTTTATTTGTTTTTATCAAATTTAGCTGGTGGTTTTTTAGATGTTTTGACAAATTATTTTCAGCTTTGGATAGGAAAGTAGAAGGAGTCCGATATGTTTAAGCAGAGTTTGGCGATGCTGTCAGGGGGTTGATTTTCAGGATGAATCCAAAACTTGAAAATGTTCATTGTTATTTGTAAATTGAGAGATTTACCAAGTGCATTTCTCGATGCAACATTCGGTGAGTGTTTACCTAAACACATCTTACAAAAATAAATATGCGTTTTCTTAATGGGGTCTTTATCCCAGCGGCTATAATCACTTTTATCATAGATTCACCAAACTTCGGAACAATACGGTAAAATTGGGAAAAATGGTGTATTGAACAGTTTGTTGATTATCTGGATTGATAATTTTAGAAAATCTAGATAACGACGAGCGACAAAAAAGGAAAAATTATATAAATAAATAAAATAAAAATAATAATAGAAAGAGAAGATTTCTCATTAAAAACCTATATAAAAATATATGCACAGTTAAGAATTATCACGAAATTATTACATAATGTTGTAAAGGCTAAGCAAAATGTATTTACATGTATTTGCGCGATTGAAATGTAAAATTTGGGAAACCCAGTTTCGACTTCAAGTTCTTAGATGTTCCGATTTTATTAGCGGCACGAAACGGATCCTGATCCAAATCTTAGCTTCAGTATAACACCACGATTTAAGTCCGCCGTCTGCTCATTTGAGCGAAAAAAAAACGTAGACCAATCACAGCAGACTTCCTGATCTAAGAAGTACACTTTGGACCTAGAGAAATTTCGCGCTTGACTTAGCCCCAGAAAACATCAGTAAGGTCTCATGAAAGGTGAAGACCTTACAGTTTTAGAACAGACTACTTAGTTAACTCACAAGCGTTCTTACTAGAGGCTACCCTCTCCTTCTCAATGAAAAAAATTACCACGGAGATTAGATTTGCTGAACGGAAGTCGGCTTTACTACAAAACAATAAAGTGTGAAAAAAAATTTTGCCTTGTGTTCAGTTACAAGGCAAGCCCGCCGTTGCATCACCCAAAGAACAACTTAATAGCATATGAGATATAATCCAGCCTTTACAGAGAGAAATACACAAAAAGCCAACGCTTATCTCCTAGATTCTCGTCCGGAGCAAAAATCTTTGGTCACGTATCACACTCTACCGAGCACGTATGTGTTTGGCTTGTCAACACTTTGACTTCAACAGCGCCGATTGGATCTCCGATAATCTGCATGTGATCCCTAGCTGATATTTGCGAACAATGGGAAAGGAATTTATCTTTCGGTTCAGTGGTGGGGAAGGAACGCGTGAAGAACCCCTAAAAATGTCTGCGTCGGGGGCTACTCTCCCACGGGCCTTTATACACAGTCTAGACATGACTCCTCGGGTGTCAAATCATTCACCAATAAGAACTATTTTCCATTGCAAGTTTTTTTACTAGAGTAAATAGATTGGCTTTTAAGTCTGTCTCTAATAAATAATTTTAAAAGCTTCGCAAATGACTTGTTGGAATGTTTCTGATATTTTATAGATTCCGTGGCAACCTCATCTTCCACTGCTAAAAAGCGAAAAGGAGATTCCCCATTAACAGGCGATAGAAATAATATAAACCATTAAATACGTACAAACTGAAGAAAAAGGGAAACATTTAAAATTTGCACTGATATATTATTTGTATCAGTTAAAAAGCTTTTCAGCCATATTTCTACGTGTAATTGCATGTTGTCCTTATATTTTCGGTTTAAAGGACTTACCCTCTACCAAAAAAAGAAACTTATAGAAAAGGTCCGGGAAAAAGAAAAGAAAAGAATGACTGGAGAATACTATGATATTCAGCTACGGTGAGATTTGAACCCGGGTCTGCCCGCATGGGAGGAAAACGCTATGTCGACCATGAAGACACTTAACCTTGAAAAACGGAAATTATATGACTTAGGCAACAGAAATATGATCCAGTCCTATTTGACTCATTACTTGACCCACAGATGAAACGAAAAACGCTTCTTTTGTGCTTAAAATTCAATGAACGGTTAATCTCCTTTCCAGGTGAGTCAAAGCACCCTTTAAGAGAAAAAAATTGTTTCTTTTTTTCTTGTGGTTTCACTTAACTTGCCGGTGAATGTTGATTTTATGAGTTGACATACATATAGCCTGCGAACAGCAGACGCATTTCCGGTCGTCGCTTCTCTCCCTCCGAAAAATAGCGTCTGCGATCTCGAGCTCCAAAACGATTTCCGTGACGTCAGTATTTCTTCACCAATCAGAATTCGGCTCTTATTTTTGCGGAGCTAACACGCGTGGGCTTTACGTGGCTTTACGTGGAGATCTCGATATACGCGAGAAAACCATAATGGCGGAAGATGGGGAGAGTTCGCTGGACCACGCGTTTGTCAAAGTATGCGATATTTTCGGCTTTGAGAAGCTTAGCAAGCACCAGGAAGAAGCAATTCGACAAGTAGTGGAACTGAAAGTCGATGTGTATGTCAATTTGCCGACTGGTTATGGAAAGTCTGTTGTGTTCCAAGCTTTACCTACGGTATTTGCTTCGCTAGATAAAT